GACAATACTGTACTTAAATTCATACACCAAACAACCGAAGCAGTCAGATGATGGAACAGGTTGTAGACAAAAGTTAAAACTGGTTTGTAAGTCGTCCAAATCAGCAAGTTAACCAAACTTCTTGCAGTTTTGACTTTCAGGGTGGATTGTACAGTTTATCAGTTGTTCTGTACTGTTATTCAAAATGGTAAATGGACTAAAGTATAGTGTTGAAAGAAAAAGTACAAAGACGTCCCATAGCAGACATTGGACTTGGTCGCAGTGCATTATGGATTTGGACTGCAGCTTTTGAGTAGGTCTTCTGTTGAAAGAACACATACAAAGACGACCCTTAGCAGAAATGGGATTGGTGTATTGTGGATGTTGAAGTTTGGTATGGGGTTTGCGCTCTGACTTCAAAATGCAAATAGACTAATTCTGGTCGTTTTTCTCATGGTTTCCTAAATTACTGCTGATCAGAACAGCCTCACACGGGGCACCAGACACCAACAGCTCCTCGCCAACACACACCAATTGTGAAGTGGATCGCTTTAAATCCATAAATCTGAAGATACTGTCAATAGCCTTTAAAAAAAACGATATAATCCCCATACTGTAAGGATTATAAAACCTTAGAATAATATTTGAACCAACCTCTTTGTCAAAACCTTCAAAATGTAGAGTTTGCATGAACATTGACCCGTGCATTTAAAAAACGTTGTTGCTTCAAAAGTCTATCCTGCCTATCATCTATCCTTTGGTAATCCATTCTTTTTTTTTTTTACTTTTTTTTTACTTTTTTTTATCACATTTCAACTTCAGTGTACATATACATATGTAGTTAACCTGTTAAGCACCAAGCCTGTTTTTCATGTTTCAGGCTCGAAAATGACATGCCCAAAACAAATGACTACAACTTAACTTCTAAAAGGGTTATATCAATAATTTATTTTATCAAAGCAAGGTTACATCTGTGAGTTGGATGTAGAAGTGTCAGAATCAATATAAATGTTTTTTATTTTAAAGAAAATTCAGATTTTACATAGTAAAAAACTGTAAATTATAGTGTCCGTCCAAAAATTATTTTTACAGATAGTGAAAACTACCCTTGGATGATGGGTTAGTAGACTAAAAGCTTTAGGAATCCAAAGTACAACATATAATAAGTACCCTGTATCAAGATTGATGCAAAACAAGTGACATTTGACCTTTTTAGAGAGGTTTAGCCAAAACCACCCCACCTCTGAGGTGATTTGCGTGAAAATGTTTTTCTTTCCATATCTCTGGCCCCCCTTGCTCGATTTTGATGGTTGACACCTCTTTCTGACCGTTAGAGCCAATAGAATCGAAGGGGGAGGCCCCCACACACACTCATTGTAAAGAGAAAAGGTGGGGGCTGTGCGCATGTAAATGTGCAGCAGAGTGAAGCGATCTCTAGCTCTGGCATTTGGAAACGAGAAAGCAGTTTTATTGCTTATGGATTATCAGAAATAATTTCAAAGAGGGCACAGATACATTGGATGAACCTATGGATTAACTGCAGCATCGTTTATTTTATCGTTTTAATGCCATTGAATACCAGTTTTGACCAAGGTAAGCCATGTTAGCGTTTCTAGCTACCTAGCTCCACATGTTATGATGTACGCTTTCGTTTATAGCGTCGCAAATGTTTATCACTGAGTGTTGAGGTGGGCACCCCTAGATTCAGTGTCTCCAGGACACCAAAAAGGAGTGGTTGGCTGTGCATCTAGGATAAGTAATAAGGGAGTTATTGTGAGTTTAAGTGCTGTTTTAGGTTACATTTTTTCGCACGTGGCTAATTCAGAGGCTGAGTGTTAGCATTGTGGGGTTTTTTTGGATTTTTTTTTTTAAAAAGATCAGTTAGCTGAGTTTCTTCCCGTTAGATGGATATAAAACATTCATAGTTTATTAAATATTAAGATTCCTTAGACGTTGTTTCCTGCAAATGACGCGTTTATCCGCCCGGTACCGGGCGGATGGTGAGTAACAGGTTAAATAGTTTAACAGAGTGGTCCGTATTTTTTCTTTTTCTTAACAAAACAACAACAACACACAAGAACATGGGGTGTTTTCTTTTCAATATAAAATATTGACAGTATAGAGCAGGGGTGTCAAACTCAAGGCCCGGGGGCAAAATCCGGCCCGCGACTTCATTTTATGTGGCCCCACAAGAGCTCTGAAAGAATATAATATGTTTATTATACAGTTACATGGCGATTTACAGAAGCACGTTGCCCACAAACTACATGTCCCACAATGCATCTCAAAATGTCACTTTTCTTTCAAAATGTCACTTTTTTTCCTCAAAATGTAAAAAAAAAATATTTTTGACTTTTTTTTCCAGGATTTGGCTTTTCTTTTTAAATCATTTTGTGACATTCTCACTGAAGAGACTTGCAATTACTTGCCCTAGACTTCTGCTTTCAGACGTAGTTAATTATGAAGTTATTACCCTATCAGATAATAATCCAATGCAGAGGCAAAAATGTAATTTAATGCATTATTTTATATATATTAAATATTTATATATGTATTTTTATATAGTCTTAAAGTTACAACCAGCCCTTTGAGTGCAACCATAATTCTTACGTGGCCCGTGATGAAATTGAGTTTGATACCCCTGGTATAGATCATTAAATAAAATATTCAAACTTTTAAACAAAAGAAGGGCGTTTCGGGGTAATAATCGCTTTCCATTTCTCCCAAATGTCCTCAAATGTAAGTTCCTGGAGCCTCATAGAGAAGGTTATTCTTTCCATTACAAAGATTTCATAAATGATATCATACCAATCATTTATAGATGGGCTGTTTGGTTTGAGCCATTTCTTTGTGATTAATCCATTCTTTTTTTAATACTGATCTCATCCTCTGCATCAGTGACTAATGAGTGATAACGTCTTGTGTCCAGGCGCTGTCCGAGCCTCCAGTATCTTCCCCATCCTGAGTGTGATCCTGCTCTTCATGGGGGGGCTCTGCATTGCCGCCAGCGAGTTCTACAAAGCCCGACACAACATCATCCTCAGCGCCGGCATCCTCTTCGTCTCTGCAGGTAGGAAGGGAAGGAGGAAGAGGATAGATTAGAAGGCTTTATTGTCATCATACAGGTACAATGAGATGAGTAGAGCTACTCCTTTTTTTAAGGTGCCATCAAATAAGCAAAAAACCAAACAAGAGATGTACAACATTCAGGAGAAGACAACATACAAACAACAAGCATTCATACTTTAATATGCAGATGAAGAGGACGAGGAAGGTGGGAGGGGATGGAAGAATGGGAAAGGTATAAGTGTAGGGGCAAAATATATTGGATTGAGTAAAAAGGGAAAAAGATATAAGGTAAAAAGTAGAGGAATGACAGGGAGAGAAATATCTTGAATGGAAAACGAAAAAAGGAAGAAGAGATAGATAGATAGATAGATAGATAGATAGATAGATAGATAGATAGATAGATAGATAGATAGATAGATAGATAGATAGATAGATAGATAGATAGATAGATAGATAGATAGATAGATAGATAGATAGATAGATAGATAGATAGATAGATAGATAGATAGATGGATGGATGGATGGATGGATGACCCCATGGTACCTTTTAGTTTTCGCCGAAACTATTCCTCTTTTTAATTTTTAAATGCACATAGTTAAGTTTAAGTTGTCTTTCTAGGACTGTTTTGGTGCCCTCCGTGAACCAGGGTCTAGAAACCAAAACGGCACACGTAGGGGACTTTAACCACCTACGAGGGGACTTTAACCCCAATAATGACTTTAACCACCTACGAGGGGACTTTAACCCCAAAACACGTAGGGGACTTTAACCCTAAAAATAATAAGCCTGAATATATCAATTAAAAGCAGCTGCAAAATGTCATTTAAAAACAGTCATTAAAAAGCAAAGATAATAAAATAATCATTAAAAGAAAAAATACATGGATAAAAGTTACAGTGCAGTTTAAGATGTGAATAGTTCAATTAAAAGCAGCGGCAAAAAGAAAAGTCTTCAGCCTGGATTTAAAAATAGTCAGAGTTGCAGTTGACCTGCAGGTTTCTGGGAGTTTGTTCCAGATATTTGGAGCATAATAACTGAACGCTGCTTCTCCATGTTTAGTTCTGACTCTGGGGACAGAAAGCTGACCAGAAGACCTGAGAGTTCTGGATGGTTCATAATTTAGCAGTAGGTCAGAAATGTATTTTGGGTCTACACCATTCAAAGCTAAGTCCACTGGTTGACATATAGTTACCTTGACAAAAAGAAATGGGATTCTTTCATTAGATATTGGATTATTGCAGAAAATACCACGTCTATAATGGCATAAATGCAATAGCCTGATGTAAAAAGCTAACGTTACCAAAAACACAAAACAAAGTCCAGAAATGTTGCCTCATATCCAGGTATAAGGCCTCATCCTTGCAGCTTTCTGTTTAAAAATGCAAATCAAAAACAGATATCCTGGTTGTGGAGCAACAGAAAATTAAACTGTCATGCTATGGTCACAGCATGACGCTCGTTGACCACCAGGTGATATCTTACACACCTTTTGACATGTTTAGCATTCAAAAATCACCTCAGGAAGAAGAACAAAGATGGACCAGGTTGCCATTTTTTGCCAGAGCAATTTTGGTGTTTTTGTGCATGCATGAGTGTGTGTTTGTGCTCTGGTTCTGGGCCATGGCCTACTGTGCTGAGCTAGATAACTAGTTCCCCTCCAAGTCAGAAGTGAGAGTTGCACCTCTCTCTCTCACTATCTCTCTCTCTCTCTCTCTCTCTCTCTCTCTCTCTCTCTCTCTCTCTCTCTTTCTCACTGTCTGTCTCTCTCGCCCTGTTGCTAGGCTAAGAGGAGACCACTGGGATTACACTCTAAAAATAAGGCGTCCCTGATAGTCTTCTGATTCTGATTCATCTCAATCACAGTCACCTCCGTCTGCTGCTCTTTACAGAGGATTGATTTCACTGCATAGTTGTTCTTTTGTCTGTCTGTCCATGTGTTTATTTCTGGCTGCACACAGTCAGAGTGGTGATGTACGACAAAAATGACAGCTGATCAAAATAGAGGGAGGGATAGAAAAAGTAGATGAGAAAGATGGCAGGGAATTTGTTGGAGGTAGAAAAGCTGAGGTGGGTGAACTACAGAGACATAAGAAATAAATACACAAAAAAAAAGAGAAAATGCAAATTCAAAAACAAGTCCAAGTCCAAATTGACCCCTAATGTAATGCAAGTCAGGAACATATACATACAAACATGTCAAGTAATAAAGAGAAAATAAACGTTACGTAACAATCATTCTGGCTGCAACACTTCTTCTGTAAAAGAAGAAGAAGACAAATATTGCCTTTTCTTCATGTAAAAAAACACGATTTTAGAATAAACTGTCACTGACTTCAGCAAGCGGAAAAGTCGATTCTTTGTCTTTAGTTTCTGTAGTTGTTCAGCCGACAAAGATAAACTGTAATCCTTTTGGTCGTTTGGTGTGTTGATAACATTGTGGCTTGTATTTAATTTGAATGTAACCTCCTTTCCTCTGTCTCCTCTGTCTCCTTTGTCTCCTTTGTCCCAGGCCTGAGCAACATCATAGGGATCATCGTCTACATATCAGCCAACTCCGGGGACCCTTCCAAGAGTGACTCGAAGAAGAACAGCTACTCGTACGGCTGGTCCTTCTACTTCGGCGCTCTTTCCTTCATCATGGCGGAGATGGTGGGCGTCCTGGCCGTTCACATGTTCATCGACCGGCATCGGGAGTTACGTGTCGGTGTGCGAGCGGCCGATTACCTCCAAGGTGCGGCGATAACACGCATCCCGAGCTACCGCTACCGCTATCGGCGCCGCTCACGCTCCTCGTCCCGCTCCACGGACCCCTCTCACTCCCGGGAGACGTCCCCTGTGGGCCTGAAAGCCTTCGGGGCGCTTCCTTCCACCGAGTTGTCCATGTACACGCTGCCTAAAGGTCAAACAGGCACCCCGACGGCCGACTATAACTCCGAGGAGAGGGACCACAACTTCCTGCAGGTCCACAACTGCATCCAGAAGGACCTGAAAGACTCGGCCGCCAACCGACGCACCACGCCTGTATGAAACTGAATATCAGACTATAACAGTATCAGTTTTTGAGTGGTGGTACAGATTACTTCACCTTCACAGCACCTCAGATCAGTTTCTGTTTTAGAACTAAAAAAGGAAACTGCATAAAAAAGAAACATGCATGATTTTCCCATCTACCATTGAGTTTTGAACATGTTTGTAAAGATATAAGAGGAGTTGGGAGGGGGGGTGTTTACGGTGGTTATCTGTGGAGTGGTGGGCCAACTTTATATTTTTTACTCTTCCTCAGTGTTATAAAAAGGGGGCGTAGTTGCCCCCTCGGCCCCACCCAAATGCCCCCCAACACACACACCCTAGCCTCCCTCCTTTCTTTAGTTGCTGTATCTTCTTTGATTTAATTCTTTATTCGCATTAATACTGTGAACCGTTGCGGTGTGGGATTTAAGCAGGGAGCAATTCAGGCCGCAAAAAAACTGAGAAAAAACAAGAAAAAAACACATTAGTTAATATATGTATTGATTATATATAAATATATGAATATATATGTTAATAAAATCATGACTAGACTTCCCTGGCGCAAGAATATCAACGAGAAAAAAGTCATTTAATCAAGACGTCGAGGAACACAGAGGATTCTTCGCGGCTCATTTGACAGGCAAAGGTTTTCGACCCGATGAACTGATATTGGTTAGTATTAGACGCGTTATTACTTTATTTTACAACAGAAAAAATTATTGTTTGGCCTTCCGCCGAAACCCTGGTCGCCATCTTTGTTCAGGGTCAACTCGAGGTGAAAAGGTTGACATTGTTTCTTTTCTTTTTTTTGCTCTGAAAAGGGGCGGAGACAAGAGAGAACTCTGGGTAATGGAGGATCTCTCAGCAAACTTAAAGAAGACTGTGGACAATGAGACGTCACTACTGCCAAAGACACAAAGTAGTGCGTGAGAAAAACATGGCTACCAGCGAGGTGAAGCTAAGTGACTCCAAAAAATTAAGAATTTACATGCATGCTAATCAAAACCATCCAATCTGCTTTTAAGAAACCTATGTTTTGAACAATGATACCATGTAAGGGCCGTGGGGGTGACGACGTAGAAGTTAATGTTACAGTACTGTGTCTATTTAACTTTCTTTTCTTATTTTTTGGGTACTTTTTGGGGATGGGGCTTCATTACGCTTGAAACAAGGACTTTGGAGAACGTATCAAGGCTTTTTTTAAACAAGAAAAATCTTATCTTGCCTTTTTTCATTTAATTTGATTTCGTCGGTTCCTTTGAACTCTCACACAGCCTTAGTCTCTTTTTTCTTTGTCTCATTTTTTCTTGTTCTTTGGTTTTGTGTTGTTGTAAATGAGAATTTAAAAAAAGCGTAATGTCTTTCAAGGTGCCAAAACTGAATGATTCTGAACTTGGATGCATCAAGTCCTGATGACGAATAAAAATTGAACCCCCCGTAGGGAACAGAAAGAGTGTTTGTTGTATAATGCTTAAGAACGAGGAGGACCAGCAAAGCCAAATGAGTCCTTTAATTCAATTGTTATGTTTATTTCAGGAAGTTGTGGTTTTCCGACAAACAAAGGTCTCTTCCAGGTATAGAAAAATGTCTGTGGAGATGAGAAGATCTTCATTGGAGTCTCTTACGTTGCCTATTTGCACAATACCAAGCAAGTTAACCCTTAAATTGCTAGTTCTCGAAGAGGGGCGAGAATTGGCGTGGATGATGTTGAATGATCTGTTTGCTTTACCATCAATTCAACATCCATTTTCTTCGGATGGTAAGTTTGTTTTTAAATGGTTTCGTCCTGATTCTTCAATACTACTGCTAACAAAACCCTTCTATTATTGGATGGTAAGTCACCAACAAGTGTGTTTACAGCGACTTTGTTTACATGCACAAATGATACGGCCCATATCCTGAAAAAGACATTATTTCTAAAGCTAAGACAGCTAAAGAAAATGAATACTCATCTAAATATCCAGTTTAGATGCAATGCCTAAATATATTTTTTAATCGTCTCTACTGTGGACTTCTTTTATTCCTTTAACGCCTTTCTTGAAAAGGTTGAGTTCCAACAACCTGTTTATAGCCAAGTCTGGTTTATAATATTTTTTAATTGGTGTTTCTCCTTCCAATCAGAGATGTGGGTTTTTTGGCTGTAAACCGGCAAGATGTTGTGTGTTACAGACGTAGTGTATTTTCTGTATGTGTTGTTTACATGTCCAATGAATGCTCCTCAAACCTAAACACTATCGACAAATCACACACATCTTTAGGAATAAGTACAACCTTATATGGAATCCAAACAGAATATGCTGTTTAAGCGATCCATATATGACATATTCCTAATATATATTACTGTATATATATAAACCCCAATGTGTCTCATGGTGAACAGGCCCAGGTGCATTGAGGCAGATTTTGTATCCTAAAATTGGACACATTTCACTTCGTCTTACAGTGCATGAAGGATTTTGTCTAAGCCGGATAACAGGGGCGCTAAATTCCTCGTAAAATGTTAAAGTGATGCCAGAAAACAATATTTCTGTTGCTCAAAAACTGTATAATGACTCCAGAAATATGAGTACCAAACAGAGCGCCAGACGGCAGAGACAGCTTTGTTTTTACGGAGCTCCGACGTCATGTTGTTGTTTACGTCAGGAGACATCTTGTATACGTCAGGAGACATCTTGTATACGGGTGTCATGTTCTCGTGATAATGGATATATCTTATAAACAAGATCAGAGACACAGTATCGCCGGTACATGCAAGCAACACAATGATTAGCTATGATACAGTATAACCTGCCTTAACTTCACCATACTGCTCATAATTTTCCCACTAAGACAATTGAAATAGTTTGCTCTTGTTGGGTTTACGGTTGTGGAACATGCAGAAGTTCAATGCAGTACAGATAAGAGTTCCTCAGGGTGAAACAGTGTGTACCTACCCCAACATGTTTATTAACACTGTTACACACTGTTTTAACCCCGGGGTAAATATCCTGTAACATGAACACTCTGTGCCTTTTCAAATCCCTCCTTCATCCTCCACATGTATAACTTTCCCTCTTCATATTCGACTGACATTCTCTCCTTCTGCATTAAATGTCAGATTGAACAGCAGCCTCCATGTCCTGCTGCATGATCTCTCTCCTCTCTCTCTCTCCTCCCCCGGTGTGATGATCAAAGTGGCTGCATGTCTCTCTGCAGCACTGCTGTGATCACTGAAGAGAGGGAGGAAGAGGAGGAGGAGGGAGGAAGAGGAGAAGCAGCGCCCCCTTCTGGTGTGGAGGTACGTAAAGGATTTCCTCACATTAAACTCAGTGACCTCCACAAAGTGCACGAAACATAAATCTTCCACAGCAGTGTGTAAAGTGGACGGTAAATTCAATCAGCTTTCCCTTTAAGATTTACATCTGTACAATATATATAAATGTGTGTGTGTGTGTGTGTGTGTGTGTGTGTGTGTGTGTGTGTGTGTGTGTGTGTGTGTGTGTGTGTGTGTGTGTGTGTGTGTGTGTGTGTACATTGGTGGAATGTAATGCAGTATTATGGGTACTTGAACTGAGTATTTCAAAGTGCATGAAACATAAATCTTCCACAGTGAGCAGTGTGCGTAAAGTGGAGGGTAAAGATTTACATCAGTACTTTAAATTATATAAATATACGGTGGTGGATGAGATGAAGTGTTGTCATGTTCCCTAATAGTCTAGGGGTGAAAGGGAAGTAACTAAATATAAACTAACCGGGAGCAAGAAAGAACAAGGAAACTGATTTGTGAAGCCAAAGGAAAATGCTTTAATTCATCAAAAATACAGAGGGCTGACTAGCAAAGCAACACAACTAACTGAAGGTAAATTAAATAGGGCTGTCAAGTTAACGCGTTAACGCAAAAAAAAAAATTAACGCCACTAATTATTTTAACGCGATTAACGCATGTGTATTTTTTGTCCTCGGCCGCCCCGTAGTTTCAGAGCGCATCGAGTTTAAAATACCATCTACAAGCTGATGCTGACAGCCCCGCTCCTGCCGCCCGCTTGTGGCAGACCACACTTCCACGCTCACCGGCAGGCCCGGACTGGCCATCGGGAGGACCGGGAGGGTGTGTGTATGTGTGGGCCGAGCGAGGCACACCTTACGTGTTGTTGTTGTTGTTGTTAGCATCTGGTGCTAGCTAGCTGCACTAATGGATATAAGGAGCTGTTTCAATGAAAACAGAGGAGCGACATTTCGCCGACAACTGCGCCGAGCACTTGACTTTATGCAGGTAGCCAGACAGTGGGACATTGCACGAAAAGTCAGCACACTCAGCACGGATAGTACGCGCAACATGATTGCAGCGTCCAGGCAGCTCCCGTTCGAGCATATATGCCTTGAGCTGCACATAGCTCCAACGATCCATCACAGTGTCTCCACATTCACACACACACACACACACACACACACACACACACACACACACACACACACACACACACACACACACACACACACACACACACACACACACACACACACACACAGTATTGTATTATTGTATGAGAGAGGTTCTAGGTTGAATTGAGGCGAATATTTGTAATGTTCAGGTTGTTGTGTTTAATATTCATGAGCATATTTGTCATTGTTCAAATGATAATAAACAAACATATAAAGCATATTTGTCCACTCATATGTTGATAAGAGTATTAAAAACTTGAAAAATATCCCTCGAAGGTACATTTAGAACAGATAAAAAATGTGCGATTAATTTGCAATTAATCGCGATTAACTATGGACAATCATGCGATTAATCGCGATTAAATATTTTAATCGACTGACAGCCCTAAAATTAAAACAACCTTCTTACAAAAGAAAGTGATAACAATAAACCATGTTGAAAGAAACAATGGAGCACATCTCCAAACACTTTACCAAACACTTCAAAGGGTCACACACTGCCGTTCAGCCCTGAGGAGAGGGGAAGAGGCAGTATATAGATATCAAAGTTATTTAAATGTTGAAGTATTGTTGGGAGGGACGGTGCAAAAAATATTCAAAATGTCCATCCCAGCTTCTCAAAGTCCAACGTGATGTCTTTATCTCTCCAAAACCAAAAGATTGTATCTATAGGAAAAAAGCTGGAAAAGAGCAGACTTTTCTACATGACAAATGCATCGAAAATAGTTGGCTGTGATTTGTGGACGATGTTCTAATCGTTTAGTCGACTTAGACAGTTCGAAAAAAGCTGTCGTGTTTCTCAAATAACTAGAAATGAAATAAAACATTCGTGTTATTTGCAGGTGAATTTGGAAGAGGATTTTTGTCTTTCCGCAGACGAGAGGAACAGCTGCTGCCTCCTCGCCCCTGCAATTCACCTGCAATTAGCTTTTTAGGTCACAAACAGTTAGAGGCTATAGAACACACACACACACACACACACACACACACACACACACACACACACACACACACACACACACACACACACCACACACACACACACACACACAAAGAGAGAGAGAGAGAAAGACACCATGGTTAAGGTCAATTCAATCAAATTACTGCGTTAATATGACTTTGCATAATTTACAATATTGGTTTAATTTGGTTGCATCGCTTTGGGGCACGTCTGACATCAATTGGAAAGGAACATTGGAAGATACCACATTGAGAGTCTAATAAAACAGCATTTCCTGATCTTTTAGCAAACAAATGACCATCATTTGGATATAAATAACGTTGTTTGCTTACTTTTCAGTCGTTCCAATTAACATTTAGTTGACTTTTAGATGCAGCTCAAAGACAGTTTGTTGTTCTACATGGTTATTATCTAATAAACACTCTAATACAAAAAGCAAAAACTAATTTGTTCTGCACCTGTGATCCCAGAGATAAAAAGAGAGTCTCTGTGACCGCTGACCGATTCAATATCTGTGGAAATGAAGAAGTCTCTCCCAGAGCAATAAGCAGCCGCCCACTCTCCGTCCTGAGAAGTTATTAAGTGAAACTCCCAAGACGTGAGGCTCCATTAAAATGAATAGAAGAGACTGCTGAAGATCTTACAGCGATCTTTATGATTGTACAATAATGGCTCCCATCTCCATTAAAGCTCCAGTAAAGATTTTAGGTGCAGCAATGCATATTTCCAAATAATCTCTGCAGCAAACAAACGTGTATGATACTTTTATGATACCAATCTCCACATATTAACACCACTTCATGATTCTGAGGTAAAAAGCTAATGGGCTATAAAGGAACTACAGCATGGTCACATGACTTCATGTTACCACCGCTAAGCTAAAGGTGGCTAATGTTGGGCTATAAAGGAACTACAGCATGGTCACATGACTTCACGTCACCACCACTAAGCTAAAGGTGGCTAATGTTGGGCTATAAAGGAACTACAGCACGGTCACATGACTTCACGTCACCATCGCTAAGCTAAAGGTGGCTAATGTTGGGCTATAAAGGAACTACA